AGGGACTGAAAACCAGCAGATGGGACCCCGGAAACAGGCCCTGCCCTGGAAGAGGCCTTGTCTGGCGGTCGCCCTGGGGATTGCAGGGTCCACGGGAGGCCTGTCCCCAAGCCGCACTCGGTTCTGTCCGGTGTGGTCAACGACAGAGCACTCCGAGGTGACAGGCGCGCGTGAGGGCTGTGGGCCCAGGCTGGTGGCCCAGAGAACCCCCGCATCTTCAAAACAACAGAAACGGCAGTCAGCTCACCGCAGCCACAGATATACCTGGGAGTGCACTGGGGCCCTGGGGTCCCCGACAGGGCAGGCTCGTTCCTGACCGTGCGGTCTTGCGGGAGCCAGGCAGGCGCTGTGTGGAGGGGAGCAGGAACAGGGACAGCTGGGTGTCCCTTTGTCACCCTCAGCCCCACCCATGTGAGGGGCGCCAGGGTCTGAGGTCTTGCACGTGCCCGTAACCATGCGGGGCTCCCCCAGGAGGAGGCCCCACACACGACAGCCCCGAGGGCATCTGCCCCAGCCAAGGGCGCACTCTGGCCTCGGCCTGTCTTTTTTTTTTTTTTAAGATTATTTATCTTTGAGAGCGTGAGAACACGCACAAGTGGGAGAAAGGCAGACAGAGGGAGACACAGAATCTGAAACAGGCTCCAGGCTCCGAGCTGTCAGCACAGAGCCCGATGCGGGGCTCAAACCCACGAACCGCGAGATCATGACCTGAGCCGAAGTCGGACGCCCAACTGATGGAGCCACTGGGCACCCCACGCTGTGCGACCTGGGGGCCCAGCCGCCCTGTGATGTTCTCACCACCGTTTCTCAGGTGAGGAGACCAGGGCGAGACCAGGGCCCCTCAACACCAGGCTCCTGCCCATTTCCCGTGGCAGGAAGGATGCCCACTTCCTGGTAATAACGGGGGTGCTACTTAGCTTTAGGTTTGCTGGACACAAGATGGAGTCCAGGATTCTCGTAAATAGATTAGATAGAAGTTTCCAGAGAAATAGAAAAAAAATTTTTTTTAACAGTACTATCCACGTAAGCGGACAGGAACACACAGGATGTTGCTTTCGTTTGCAGGTGACTCGAGGGCTGTGCAGGTGAGTGTCTCAGAAATGCAGGTTCCTGGGCCTTGCCCCAGACCTACCATATTACAGGCTTCCTGGGAAGAGCTTAGCAGCTGGTTTTAAAAGCTCCCCGGGGTAGACAAGCAGAGGACCCAGCCGTCCCACTGCTGGGCGTAGAGCTGACAGAACTGCAGACCAGTGTTGGAGCAGAGTGTGCACATGGCCGTCCACGGCCACGCTGCTCACGGAGCCGGAAGCAGACAGTGAGGCAGACGTGTGTGTTGGCCGGTGAGCAGGTGACGGAATGTGGCCCGTCCACACGCCGGAACGGTGCTCAGCCACAGAGGGAACGAAGTACTGATCATGAACCTGGAAACGGTCATGCTGAGTGAAAGAAGCCAGACATAAAAGGCCACAAATTGTGTGGCTCCGGAGCTGGCAAACACAGGGACAGAAAGCTAGTGGGGGCGGGGTGGGGGCAGTGACCGTTGAGGGGTAAAGGGGTTTCCTCTGGGGGATGACAGTGTCCTGGAACCGTCCTTGCGCGACGTTGAATGTGCCGTGCCCAGCCCCGCCCGGCCACACACTTCTAAGTGGGTTAAGGTGGTGGATTTTACGTTGTCAGGACTTAGACTGTCACCTGGAGGCCCAGCCCCTACTCTGCAGAGGAGCGTGGGCGGGGGTCCTCCAGCCTCAGGGGCACAGCCGTCTGAACTCGGGGTGCTGGGTGGGTCCCTTTCCTGCTGCTGCTGTAACACGTTTCTGCGAAGCTTTGCTGAAAAGAGCGTTTCTCCCTTGGTTCCAGAGGCCACAAAGCCAGAATCCGTCCCACGGGCTAAACTCGGTTGTGGGCGGCATTGGTTCGCTCCGGAAGCTCCCGGGAGAGTCCGTTTCCAGGCCTTTTCCGGCTTCTAGAGGGTACTTGGGCCCAGCCCACCTGGCTTAGGCAGGACACTGGCGCCGTCTCGAGGCCCCTAACCTCCTCTCCCCTACCGGGTCCCTTGTGCGTGTCCGTTCGTGTATTCTCGGACCCTGGGGTCCAGATGAGGATGTCGTCATGGGCCATCACGCCACTGGCCACGCTGGGTTCTCTGTCCCTGAGCCGCAGGCCATTTGCACGGGAGGACTGGCTGCTCGGTTAGCTGCCGCAGGTGGAGCTGCCCTTGCAAGGCCACATTGCAAGGCCACGAGCCGGCAGGCACTTGTTAAGCTGCCCCAGGCCCCGCAGACCCTGGGGCAAGGAGGGGCTGCGGGCTCAGGAGCACAGGTGACACGGGGTCCCTGCTTGCCTCAGTGGCTCCTGGGGAGCTTTCTGGAAGCCCAGATGCCCACCCTGCCCCGCCCCAGACCAACGTGAGCCGTTTGAAGAGTTCCTCCCACATTCACGTGCGGCCGGGGTTCAGAACACGGTTCCAAAAGCTCAGAATCAGGCCCAGGTAAAGACCAGTCAGTCGCGACAGTGGAGCCTGCCACACCCCCTGCCACACACACCTCTCACTTCCGTGCCGAGAGCCCAGAGTGTTCTCGTGAGTCCTCCGAGCAGCCCTGTGGGGTGGGGTCTGCTTTGATCCCATTTCATAGGTGCTCCCAGCGAGGCCCAGGCCACAGGGCCAGTGCACAAAGGGAGCCAGGGACTCTGGCTCCTGGGACCTGCCCTCATCTGTCTTCCAGAACATTCTAATGGGTCCGGGGAAACAAACAAGGTGGCTTTCTCCTTGAAGTTCTGAACTTGTCCAGCGGCCCGTACTCTGTGGAGAAAGGAAGCAGGACCCTGACAGATGCTCCCGCGGATGGCAGGTGCTCCCGCACGTGGGCACCGGGCCGAGCCGCCGCCTGCCTGGCCCACAGAGGCGCCAGTGTGCCACCTCGCCGGCTCCCTTGTGCACCAGAGCCGCCCGCCCACGCAGATGGGGCCCCCAGGGCGCCTCTCCACAGCTCACAAAGGTCAGGGCAGCCGTAGGGGGCCGGCAGGGAGCGCACATCAAAGCGCCTCAGAACTAAGAGGTTTTCTTCTTTGGGTGGAATTTCACAGCCTGGTGGCCAATTTCTAAGTCATGCACGTTAATGGGCAGCTAATGAGGTATCCAGGCGGGGACCTGGAGGCCCAGATTAGGGTGTACAAAGCCAGCTGCTGGGGGGGGGATGGTGACGGGGCGATAAATCTCTCTCTGCCTCGGGGTGGGTGAGGTGGACGGGGGTGGGTGGGGTGGACGCGGTGGATGGTCAGAGCGGGGCAGATTTTGAGGCACGAACTGGGCTTGGTCTGTGCCCTCCAGCTGCCCCTGCTGGTGCCCGGCTCCCTCCCCAGCCGGGCCATGACCTCCTTGCGTTTTTGGAACCCCCCCCCCGAAGGAAGAGGTGGGCTTGAAACGCCTGGTCAGCAAGCACGGCCTTTCCCGGGTGGTCGACCCGGGTCTCTACCCTGGGGGACCCCAGAACACCGAGGCCTTCCCAGGGCCCCTGGCTGAGCCTTCACACAGGGACTCCCTGTTCCCCTGATGCCTCCCTCCCCCGCTTCACCTTCCTCCAGGGAGCCTTCCTGCAGCTGGGGTCTCGTGGTCACCCCTCCCCACCCTTTGGACCCTGGCTCTTTGTGTCTGGTGCTGGTCTCCTCGCAGGTCGACTCTTCCTCCAAAATGGAGCCCTTCTCTCTCCACCTTTGACTTGCTGGTACTCTGTGTGCGTCAGATGAGAACGCACTCGGACCCCAGCCACGTGAGGAGCACTGGGCTGAAGAGAGGCCCCTGTTGTGCTGAGCAGTGTGCCCTGGGGCCTGTGGCTGTGACCTTATTTGGAAAATGAGTCTTTCACTTGGCAGGTGCAATCAGGAAAGGATCTGGAGATGAGATCGTTCTGGAATATGTGAGTGGGCTCAGACTCCGGGGCAGGTGTCTTCCCTTGAACAGGAGAGGGCGGGGAGTTGATGCCTGGAGGGGCGCGGCCAAGGCAGGAGAGACCGTGCCCTGGAGCCTTTGCAGGGAGGGCGGTCCTGCCCATGTCTCAGGTTCAGGCTTCCAGCATCCAGAACCGCAAGAGAATAAATTCCCATGACTCTGAAACCCCCAGTTTGTGAGTTTGTTCCGGCAACTTCAGGAGACTCCTGCGCGGGGGGAAGTCACACCTTCTCCCTTCTGGAATGCTGTGCTCACTCACTGGTTCAGCACCTCCCGCCCTGTGCACTGGCAGTCGGGCAGCCAGTTTGGGGGTGATGCCCCCAGGGTCGAACCCCAGGCCGGGCACTTGCCAGCCGACCCGTTCTGAGCCCCCTCCTCCCACCTGCTGTGCCTGCTGTGTGCGGAGCACGACGGTGTCACCCCCTCGGGATTCGCCGTGAGGACTCAGGCGCCTGGGCTGCGGGGCCCGGTTCCCAGCATTGCTCACTTGGTGGCGTCTGACACGGGGGCCGGCCGTGCGCTCCTGGGCCACACTCCCGGCTCCGTTTCCGCCCTCCAAGCTACCACTCGGCAGGTCCATCATGCCCTCGGTGCCCTGCGCGGAGCCTGCAAAGACCTAAACAGTCTGCTGGTGGCACAGTCGGGGTTGAGACCGTTGGAAACCACACGGAGGAAAGGCCTGGGTGCTGATCTGGCGGCCGCCAGATAAGGACTGATGGGTGAGGCCCCGGCCCCGGCAATGGTGAAATGAAAGCCACACTCCTCCAGAGGCGGCCCCTGGACCAGCATCACCGCGGAGCTGCCGAGAAATGCAGTCTCAGACCCCGCCCCAGACCCACTGAGGCAGGAACCGCTGGGTTGTAACACGCCCTCAAGAGGACTCGAACCTGGTGCCGGGAGTAAGCAGATTCACGTTTGAGTTCCAGATGGGACCTTCGTGGACTCCTATTTTCCAGACTAGGACAATTTCCTATTCTCTCATCTCAGCTGACAGTGTAGCAGGTCAGAGAAGCCGTGTCTACTCGACGTCCGGTCCAGACCAGCGACACCCGCCTCCCTGAACCTTGGGAGCGACGTGGAATCTTGGCTCCGCTGAGGGGACCCTGAATTCGAATCTGCCTTCGGACAAGACCGCGGGTGATTCACATGCACATTCGTTTCAGGGGCGGAGGGCCCGCTGACCGCCTGGGCCTTTGCACGCCCTTGAGTCGACAGCAGCCTGCAGCCACTGTGTACTGAAAGGTGGGCACACGGACCCCTTTGTAGGTGGAAACGAGGCTTGGAGAGATCACATGCTCTAGCTGAGCTCCGAGCTCTCTCCAAGCCCCTCCCTCAGACCGGGGGCCTCAGAGAGGGATCCTGGGCCCGGGTCCTTGGGTGACCGGCCTGCCCCTCCTGCTCTCCCAGCCGCCCTCCATCAGACCCTCAGCAGCCAGGGAAGCCCCGCCTCCTGGGAGGGGCCTTCACCCGGGTGGGGGAGGGGAGGGCATCTTAAGACCAACCTCCTCCCCCCCCCCCCAGGCTGGGAGTCGTAGAAGCTGCAACTCTTGTCCTTGTCCCCCTTGGTGTTGGGATGACCCCAACACAGGTTCTCTAGGGCTCCCTTGATTGGCAAATCGTTTCCCCACCTCTGGCACAGCTAGAACTTTCCGTCTTCCCCCAGTGGGACCCCAGAAATGCAGCTGAACCCGCTTGAGCGAGCCTGAGCCCTGTCCCTCATGGCTGATGACCATCTCACCTTGAAGTCTGGATTTGCGGGTAAGGGCAAGGGGCTGGGGTCGGGGCTTGGGAGCGGACGGAGTAGGGGGTCCCCTGGTGAGGATAAGCCGAGGCCGCGGGGCCTGGGAACGGGTCACCGAAAGGGGCAGCGCGAGGTAGCCCGTGGCGTGGGGCCGCTGGGACAGACGTGTGACTCTGACTTGGGGAGCGAGGGCTGTCACAGCCAGGAAGGCAGCATGGAGACGGCGCCTCCCCCCACCCCGCTGCTGCTTCTAGCCATGGAGGGGCCGACGGGCGGCAGCCCTGGCCTCGCGGAGAAGCCGGGCCCCGCGGCCGCCAGCCCCTCTCTGTCCTCGCTGGGGGCCGTCTTCATCCTCCTGAAATCCGCGCTGGGGGCCGGCCTGCTCAACTTCCCCTGGGCCTTCTTCAAGGCGGGTGGGCTGACCCCCGCCTTCCTGGTGGAGCTGGTAAGCATGTGCGGAGCGTTTGGGGGGCGGGGGGGGTCCCCTGGGGTGGGATCCGGGCGGGGATTCTCAGCATCCCTCGTGGGGAGCTGCCTGCCGTAGGTACGACCCCTTGGAGACTTTTGGGTCGGCTCTGTGCTCAGCTGCCGTGGGCCAGGGCCACCCCGCCACAGCCCCGGGAGGAGAACACCCCTAGGCTGGGGGGTGAGGGGGGAGGTAGAGGCCTCGCAGGTGCCTGCATCAAGTGACCCATGTTCACCGAGCCGTCCCCTGGCCCACTGGCTCCTCTGCGGCCGATAACAGCTCCATGATGCAGGTTGAGCCCTGCGTGCAGCCGGATGGGGTGTAAGGTGCTGTGACCTCCCCACCCCCACCGTCCAGCCCAGGCCCCCTGCCCCGTCCCAGACGTCCCGCCAGTGGCAGGTGCAGCCTGAATTCCCTTCCCAGAAAGGCTAGGGCGGCACGGCCCCAACGGAGAAGGGCTGCTCATTAGCACAGCTTCATTTTATTTGCAAAGATTCTGTTCCCGAGGATTAGCAACTGTTGTGGGGTAGGCTTGTCCACAGACCTGACCTTCCATGCTTTTCTAAGGCGATCAGCTGATCATGGCCACGGGGCCTTTTCTGTCCTGCGGGAAACTGCCCGGTCCTAGCCTGTGTAGTGGCCAGCGTATGAAAATAGGTAGCCATGGGGAGATGGGTCAGGGGTTTCTTCTGGGGACGGGACAGGAGAGAGCCCGGGGCACGGTGGTGTGTTCTCGGCCCTCACGGGTCGGGGTGTGCAAGTGGGTGGGCTGTAGCTCTTCTGATAATTCAGTTCTCTTAACCCACAACCCGGGGGCTTTTAGGAGAGTAGTGGAGGTTCTCGGGGTTTCTGATGCCTCACGTATCCAGCTGGGGCAGGATAGTGAGAATCTCAGGTGCATACGAGAGGCCCCGACTGTCGCTTACCCTGTGGCTCTGGTCTCTGGGCAGGGGAGAGCCTGGTGGCACATCGGGTAGAGGTCCCCGGTCTGCAGGTGGCCTCTGTGGGTGACCAGCCTGGTGGAGAGTGGTATCAAAGTCCCGAGGGGCTGGGCTGCCTGGCTGGCTCAGTCGGTAGAGCATGGAGCATGTACGACTCCTGATCTCAGGGTCGTGAGTTCTAGCCCCCTGTCGGGCACAGAACCTACTCGATTAAAAACAGAAGGCCCGAGGGACAGCTGGCTCCGGTGGCAGGCACCGGGTGCCCCCTGGCCCCACGGTCCCGCTCCGCAGGTGTCCCTGGTCTTCCTCATCAGCGGGCTGGTCATCCTGGGCTACGCCGCCTCCATCAGCGGCCAGACAACCTATCAGGGTGTGGTTGGAGGGCTGTGTGGCCCCGCCCTGGGGAAGCTGTGTGAGGCCTGCTTCATCGTCAACCTGCTCATGATCTCCGTGGCCTTCCTCAGGGTGATTGGGGACCAGCTGGAGAAGCGTAAGTACTGACGTGGGGGGGGGGGGTTCCTGGGGGGTCTTCTGGTCAATGCTCGGGACGTGGGCACTGGGTGGGGCCTTGGGGGGACAGCAGAGGCCAAGGCCGTGCCTGAGCGCCTTGAGTCGTGGCAGAGGGAGTGGTAATTAGCGGCACCCTGGGGGCCGTGGAGGGGGCGGGGCTGTGCGCACGGCCAGCGGGGACAGTCCAGTTTACAGGTAGGGAAGCCCAGCTGCAAAGAAGCCCCTTTGGAGAGCAAGCCGTAACCCCTTGAATCTGGGGACGGACATCCAGGACCGAGCCCAGGCCCCCCTTGACCATTTCCCTGCAAACACTGCGCTAGCCGCGTCCTACCCGCTTCCGTAGGTTTCGTTTTGGTTCCGTTCAACATACTTGCTAATTCTTGCTGGGATTTCTTCCTTGACTCGGGGTTGTTTACTTGCATGGTTCAGTTTCCAGTTACTTGGGAGCTTCCTAAATCCCTGTCTGGTTTCTGCCTCAGTTGTGCCACGGTCGGAGAACACACTCGGGGGGGTTTCGGGCTCCTGGCCCCCACGTGGTCAATCCTGGTGGCGTTCCATGCGCCCTTCGGGGACGTGCATTCAGTGGTGGGGCGTGTGGTTCTAGAACGCTACATCCGCTCCAGGTGCTCCTCAGCTTTGATGAGATCCTCGAGCCTCCCTGGTTGTTTTTTCAAGTGTTTTTTTTCTATCGGTTCTTGAAAGACGAGCATTAAAATCAGCTGTTCGTGGGTTTGTGTATTTGACCGTTGAATTCTGTCAACTTTTGCCTCCTGGGGTTTGAAGTTCACAGGTTCACACCCGTGAATTGTCCCCTTATTAGCACGAACCATCGTCTCTGGTAATTCTTGGCCTTCAAGTCCATCTTCTTTGCCACGAATCTAGCCTTTCCAGCGTCCTTCAGATTAGCGTTAGCCTGGCGTTTGTATCATCCTGACGGTTTCCGGATTTAATTGGAGTGTTAATTAGCGATAGGGTTGGATTTCACTGTCCCATTTTGCGATTTGTTCTGTTCTGTCACCTGAACCACAGAGAAGGCCCCCAGTGCTGGCGGTACTGAAGTTCAAGGTGCCCCTGATTTGGGGAAGGGAGTGATTTTATCGGGAAAAGCAGGGAGGTTGGTAAATCTGAACCTGGTGGTTCGTTGGGTAAAGGGGTACAGAAGTGCCCTGCCTGCCGGTGTCAAGTAGAGGTCATACCTGGTTTTGCCTCTGGTCACCTGGTGGCGGTGCAGTGTGGAGAAGGATTCTGGGGCTGCCCTCAGGCTCAGCAGGAGGGCAGCTGGGGTGACCCGGCATCTGTGAGGGGACGGACCTCCTCCACAGGCTCGGGATAGGTAGCCAGGGGTGTGTCTCTCTGCAGGCAAGTCCGGGCTTCTTGGCAGGAGGGCCAAATAAAGATCGGGGGTGCTTGTGGAGGTTGGGGTGCTTGGTGTCCTTGTGTGACGTGGGTACAGATGACCTAGAAGTGACAGGTGCTGAAAGACCTCAAGGAATGTTCTAGAAAGCGAGGGCTTAGGAGGGACTGCTGGAGTTCAGACATCTGAGCTGGGATCTGGGCTGAGGTGTTGCAGAGGGAAAAGCGGGGCTCATGCCCCTTCCCAGGTGCGGGCTCACACCCCCTCCCCCCGAGGTCTCTGTGCACCTCTGGGTGCGTGTGTTCCCGGGTCTCTGTGGCCCGGAACGCCTGCTTCGCGCTCCTGCCTGGTGCCTGTGTAGAGCCACCTCGGGGTCGCTGCCCCCCAACCTGGCAGATGTTCTGTAGAAACAAGCTACTCTGAGAAGGCCTTCGCTTGTACGCACGGCTGGCTTCCGTCTGGTGAATGAAGGAAGGTCACCGTACAGCACAGCAAGTGTCCCCAAGTGGCTGGTGAACCATTCCTCCGCTCCCAGCCACTGTTTGGGGGAAGCTTACCATGGCTCGGGCTCCCAGTACCAGCCCCCACCCTGCACCCCCCACCCCGCATGCCCACGGGGCTCCTGAACAAAAAAAAAAAAGGATTTTCTATAAGAAGATGAGGGCCCAGGTGCTCAAGGGCAGGACCACGCCGGATTGTGGCCCAGCGGGCAAAGCTCCCCGAATGGCTGCTGAATGAATCTGTGTGCAGGTTCCTCCCCCACCCCGTGGTGGCTTGGGACAAGCAGACTCCGTGGCCACGGCCAACCCCAGCCCGACCCGGAGCAGGGAACCCTGTGGCTGGGGCTCTGACCTGGGGGGAGGGGGAGGTTGGGCGCAGCTCTGAGTGGTCCCTGCCCCCCCCCCACCAGTGTGTGACTTCCTGCTGCCCAGCGCGCCCCCGGCCCCGCAGCCGTGGTACGTGGACCAGCGCCTCACACTGTCCCTGCTCTCCATGCTGGTCATCCTGCCCCTGTCCGTCCCGCACGAGATCGGGTTCCAGAAGTACACCAGGTACGGGGTCTGCAGACGCTTCCTACCTGGGCAGCGGCTCCGACCGGATCCCCACCTCCGCTAGCATCTGGGGGGGCGGGGGGGCGGTTCTCCCCACCGGGGATTGGGGCGGCCAGCTCTGGACCTCCCACTAGGAGAAGAGAAAAAAGACAGGAAGTGATACTGATCACATGTATGTGTGAAGGAAAACCGAGCACAAAACTGCTGTCTGTGTTGACGTGGCTGCAGTTCTGTGAATCATTACGGACGGTTCACACGCACAGGCATGGGGAGACCCCAGACACACACACTTGTGTTTCATCTGATGGTCTGAAGCTTTGTGTTTTTTTTTTTTTTAATGTTTGTTTTTTGAGAGAGTGAGCAAGCAGGGGAGGGTCAGAGAGCGAGGGAAACAGAATCGGAAGCAGCTCCAGGCTCCGAGCTGTCAGCACAGAGCCCGACACGGGGCTCGAACCCACGAACCGTGAGATCATGACCTGAGCCCGAGTCGGACGCTCCACCGACTGACTCCCCCAGGAGCCCATATGTGTATACTTTTGTCAGACTTGGTTTTTTCAAAAGTACTCATCTGAATTTGCGCCCTGCCTTCCCCTGTCGCGTTGTGAACGGCAGTAGACTTTTCACCTGAGAACTTGGGACCGAGTGACGACACGCAGGACACCCAGTCCCCTCGGTGCCTCTAGCCCTGGCTCCCCTGTCCCATCAGCGAGGTCAGGGGCACACGGCGCTGCGGTGTGGCCGAGCCGAAGGCGTCCCGACGTGGAGGCCACATCTGAACGCCTGTCGTGTTGGTGAAATGGCAGCTCCTGAAGCTGCTGTAGCTGTCGGATGTCGGCCTGGTCGGGAACTCGACCCACCTGACCCCTGGGCCTGAACCATCCTCCTGCTGTCCCCATTGCACAGATGAGGAAACTGAGGCTCAGAGCAGTGAGGACCTTGCCCAACCCCTGGCCAGTGTGGGCAGAGCTGGCCCTCCGACTGTGCTCTGTGTGACACCCCAGGCTCTCGGTGGCAGGGCTGGCGGCCCCGTGACCTTTCAGCCATCCCCTGCAGGCCGCTAACGCTGTGCGCCGCCTGTGTTAGCATCCTAGGCACGCTGGCCGCCTGCTACCTGGCCCTGGTCATCGTGGCGCAGTACTACATGGGGCCCCAAGGCCTCGTTCGTGAGTCCCACCCTGCGCAGAGGTGAGTGGGAGGGGGCGGCTGGTCCTGGCTTCCGGGGGGCTGTGCAGGAATCCCTGGAGGAGGGAACCCTCCTCCCCGTGGTTTGCATAGAGCCCTGGCCCCTCCCCGTGAAACCCTGCACATCTCTGACTCCGCAGAGCCCGATGAAGGCCCCTTTCCTTCTTCAGGACGGACTCAGCTATTCCTCGCAAGGGCCGGGGACAGACAGACAGACAGATGAGCACTAAAAGCCCCCCGGGCTGGGGCTCCTAGGCTGTTGGCAGACGTGTCCGCACAGCATGGGGACAGCAGAGCTGGCCAGCTAGGCGCAGGTGCCTGAGCAGGAATGGGTGGCGGCCGGTGTGGCACCTCGACCCTCCTCTCCCCCGGCCTGGGTGAGGCCGAGAGCGGGGGAGGGGCGGGGTGCCCTGTAGAGATGCGGGGTGGCGGTGAGGGCTCGGGTTTTGCTGGGAAGGCTGCAGGATTTTGAGTGCAGCAGGGCTGAAACCCGATCTGCTTGTGCCAGGACCATGCCAGGACCGGCTCTGGGGGTACGTGACCGGTATCGTCACCCAGAGGGCCCTGTGCTTGCTTTAATGTCCTGCTGTTGCCATCCTGAAGTTCTTTGTTTTAATGTTTTATTTATGTTTGAGAGAGAAACAGGCAGAACGTGAGCAGGGGAGGGGCAGAGAGAGACGGAGATAGAATCCAAAGCAGGCACCAGGCTCTGAGCTGTCAGCACAGAGCCCGACATGGGGCTCGAACCCACGAACCGTGAGATCATGACCTGAGCCGAAGTCGGATGCTTAACTGACTGAGCCACCCAGGCGCCCCCTTTTTTTTAACCTTTTTTTTGCGGGGAGCATGAACGAGTGAGGTAGGTAGAAGGCGACAGAATCTAAAGTGGGCTCTGCACTAACAGCACAAAGCCCGATGCAGGGCTCCAACTCACGAGCTGTGAGATCATGACCTGAGCTGAAGTTGGACACTTAACTGACTAAGCCACCCAGGGTGCCCCACTATCCTGAAAAATTTTTTTAATGTTTATTTTTGATAGAGACAGAGGATGATGGGGGAGGGACAGAGAGAGAGAGGGAGACAGAATCTGAAGCAGGCTCCAGGCTCTGAGCTGTCAGCATAGAGCCCGATGCGGGACTCAAAACCCACGAACCATGAGATCATGACCTGAGCCGAGGCTGGACGCTTAGCCGACTGAGCCCCCCAGGCACCCCACCATTCTGAAATTCTTAATTGAACAAGGGGTCCCATGTTCATCTTGCACCAGGCTCCACAAATTACGTGGCCCTTCTTGGCCGACGGATTGGAACCGGGACATCAGAAGGAGAAGAGGCTGGGGCAACTCTGAGCGTTGGGCTGGAGCACTGGGAAAGTGCGGTTTCCTGGGGTGATAAGGCAGGAGCGGGGGCCGGGGGAGGAAGTCACGTGGGGATGTGTTAGGGTGGAGGCAGTTTTGAGATCTCAGATGAAGATGTCAGGTGACCTGTCAGACCTTTGTGTCTGGAGGTCAGAGAGAGGAGGGGGCTGAACTGGAGAGAGAGACGTGGTTGGCGTCAGCCCAGAGGTGGCATTTAAGGCCATCAGCCTGGGTGAGAAGTGTACTCTGCGCCAGGGGTACTGAGTCCAGCACTGGGAGGTTAGGGACGGGAGGCAGAGCTGCTGGAAGGAAAGGAGGGGAAGCTGGCAGATGGGTTAGCTTCCTTGGGGTCCCGGAAACAATGGGCACCAGCTGGGAGGCTGAGAAGAGCAGAGTGTATCTCAGTTGAGTTTAGACGTCCAAAGTCAAGGTGTGGCCGGGCCCTGCTCCCTCTAGTGCCTCCAGGAAAGGCTCCTTCCTGCCCCTTCCCGCTTCTGGTGGCCCCAGCGATCACTGGCGTCCCTTGGCACTGAGACGCGCCCCTCTGTCTCCGTCTCCATCATCCCAGGATCTTCTTCCCTTGCCTCTGTTTCCCCTTCCAGCAAGGACCCCACCCCACTCCAGTGTGACCTCATCTCGGTTTATCTAATGACATCTGCACAGGCTCTATGTCCAAATAAGGCTCTGTTCCAAGGTTCCCAATGGGAAAAGTTGGGGGGATGCTATTCAACCCAGCGTAGAGGATGTTAGACAGTGGGTCTCGGCAGTTGGAGAACAGAATTTCAAGAAGATGGGGGTGACTGCCACCAAAATGCTGTTGCTGGGTCCCGCAGGACCGAGTCCCAGCAGGGAATTTAGCCTTGGAAGCTGCTGGTGATGTGACGAGCTTCATCAGTGCAGGAGAAGGGGGTGAGGGCCCAGGTGGATTAGGTCCAGAGGAGTGGGGGAGAGAGGCAGGGACGAGCATTCTTCTGAGAAGGGGAAGAGAGGAATGGGCAGGAGGTGATGGGGACCAAGGCCAGCAGGTGCTGCTTCCACCTCACTCCACTATGTCCCCCGAGGTGCTGGAGGCTGGTACCCAGAGCTCCTTGTCAAAGGAAGCTGGGAGGGGGGGCCCTGGCTGGGGGCCCCTGAGGGGGCTGGACCTGAAGGTTCTGCCCTGTGTACTCCGTCCTCTCAGCAGCTTGGGTAGCGGTCAAGCCGTCCTTGCCCTGCTGGATTTGATGGATGCTGCCTATGCCCCAGCCCCTAACCTCGATGGGAACAGGCAGCCGCAGTGGGAAGTTGGGAACTCCTTCTAGCCCCGTCCTGCGTGGAGAAGGTTAAGTTAACCAATGTCAGCACAGTTGTGTTTAAAAGATGCAACGTGTAATATGCATCCTTTTCCTGGTAATTAAAACGCCTCTCACAGCCTGGCTGAGTTACGTTTTCCTGGTACTGCTGAAACCTCCTCTTCAAGTGGAGATGGTTTGGAGTTGAACTTTCTGTTAAGAAACACCTGTTCTTGTCTATTTGCAGCCCCTCCTCCTGGACCTCCGTGTTTAGCGTCTTCCCCACAATCTGCTTCGGATTCCAGGTAATGTCAGCGTGTGTGTGGAGGAGCCTGGCTTCGTGGAGGGCTGTGGTGACCCTCTGCTCCCTCGGGAGAGTGTGCCCCCCCCCCCCCCAACGTCAGGAAAGAAGGTTGAAGACTTGCTGTAGGATGAGATGGGCTGTCTTCTGGAAACGGTGCATGTCAGTTGTGGGCTCAGTGAGGTTTGGATTGCTGTTGAACCTGGGAACCTGGCCTCGCCAACACCAGCAGCACATTTGCTGGGTCCGGGGTACGGGGTGGGGATCTAGAACTTGCTCCCTCCTCTGCAAGATTCTCGCGGGGCTGTCACTGTGACTGGAGACCTGTGACCACCCACTTGTACGGGACGCCTGTATGTAGGTGGATCCTGCCCCCCGCGCCTTGGAGAGGAAGGATCCTGGCTCAGGAGGCTTGCGGCCGGGGGGCTGGGCGGCGTGGCATACCGGACACGCTATGCAGAGTCTGACAGTGTCACAGAGGGAGGGTGTGGCATCCAGGGAACCGGCTTCTGAGGCCACCCTGCCCCGGGCGATTCAGAGCGCCCTTTTCCAGGATGCTCGAAGCTTGCGAAATGGTGGGAGGCGACAGGTGAAGGGGACAGCATTCAGCTAGTGAGCTGAGGAGGGGAGGGGTCCCAGGCGCAGTGGGTGAACTTCAGGGGTGAGGCGGGCGCCCCACACGGTGCTGGAGGGGTGCGGTGGAGGCCGTGAGCTCCTCCCTCGAGGGGGTTCCAGTCTCCTGGCTGGAAGTGGTCAGTGGCAGCTTTCTTTTCATGGTTGATTATAGGGAGGATTTGCCTCTGTCCTAAGAATAACCACCACCACCCAAACGGTCCCAGAGTAAAACTGAGTTCACGGTGGGGGGCGGGGGAGGGGCAGTGGTCCAGCCCGACAGCAGTGCCTCCCAGCCAGACTTTTTCTTCCCTTCTCTGTCATCCAGCTCCTGTTTCTGCTTTTCATCTTGTGTTTTCTTTGAGGATCATTTTTGAAAAAAAAAAAAAAAAAAAACCAAACCCTGGAACATTTCCATTTATCTTCCTTATAAATCAGCCGAAACCTCGCTTCTGGGGCTCAGCAAGCTGCTCACAGGAATTTCTCACATTGCTTCTTGCACGCCCAATATTTTGAAAGATCTAAAGCGTTGATTTTGCTGTCAGCGGTTTGGACGCGGCCTCCATCCCTCCCTCCTGCACCCGGGCACCATATGGTGCGTCAGGCTCGCGCCGTGGGGGCCGCTTTCCAGATGCTTCCAAGGGCTGCCCCCCTCACCTTTGCCTCAGCCGGTTCTCCTAGCAACCGGGGCCTGGGCTGCGGTTTCCAGGGACACGGGCTTCAGCGATGGGGAGCTGGGAGAAGCCGTGGATTGCAGGGTGGGGGGTGGGGGTGGGGCTCAGGCCAGAGGCAGGGCAGCCAGGATGTGGGGATGGGGGGTGCAGCTGAGGGTGAAGATGGTAGGAGGGAGGGGGAGGGGTGATGCGGGAAGGGCAAGTCTCCTGTTGTTCTTGGGGGCTCTGATCTGGCCACACAGCTCCCCTCTCCCCTCTCCCCTCTCCCCTCTCCCCTCTCCCCTCTCCCCTCCCTTCCCCCTCCACTGAATAGCGGCGGGCAGTGGGGGGGGGGGCAGCCTGCACCTTATCATGTCCCTCGGGCCTTCAGGAGGGCAGAGGTGGGGTGCGGGCTCCGCTCCCAGCCTGCTGGCCAACCCCCCCGCCCCCCAGCGACTTTCCTGTGCCTGGTTTTAAAAAAAATTTTTTTTAATGTTTTTGAGAGTCAAAGACCGCATGAGCAGGGGAGGGTCAGAGAGAGAGGGAGACACAGAATCTGAAGCAGGCTCCAAGCCCTGAGCTGTCAGCACAGAGCCCGACGCGGGGCTCGAACCCACGAACTGTGAGATCATGACCTGAGCCGAAGTTGGACCCTCAACTGAGCCCCCAGGCGCCCCTTCCATGGCTATTTTTAAACAGCTGTCTTGAGGCATAACTCCCGTGGCAGCTGACTCACTCATTCCCTGCAGGGGCCCATCCGATGCCCCGTGCCTGTGGCTGGCCCCCCCCCCGGCCCCCCCCCCCCCCCGCCCTGGCTCCACAGCTCTCCCTGTGCGTCTGCCTGTTTCGGGCGTTTCCTTCCAACGGGGTCTTGCGGCACGTGTCCCTCGTGTGCGGCATCTGTCCCCCCAGCGCCATGCGCTCTGGGTTCACCCTGTCGTGGCCTGGGCGGCCGCCTCACCCTCCCACGGCTGCGGCGAGCGCGGCGTGCGTCCCGCTCCCCGGCCCGTGGGCGTGAGGCCAGTGCTCCTCTGCCTGCCCTTCCAGCGCCCGGAGAGCAGCACCCAGCGCGGGCCCGGCCGGGCAGCCCCGTCCTCGGGAGCTGTGCTCCGGTCCCTGGTGTAAAAGTGGGAGAAACGGGGCCCAGGAGACCCGGCACGACCGTGAGGGAGGGCTGGATGATGTCCTGCCACAGCCACGTGTCTTCTCCCCACCGCTGCGCTTGGCCGTGGCTCCGAGACCGGCCCCCTGCTCCCCGCATGGCGTCTTGTGCGGTGCCAGAGTCTGTGGGTCCTGGGCGCTGGCGTGTACTCAGGAGACAGAGCTGGGGAGACCTGTCCAGGGACCCATGCGGATGTGCCTCAGGAAGGCTGCGGGGGTATGTGCGGGAGGCGGGGACCTAGGTCCCTCGGCTTCCACTGGTTGACGCTCCTATCCAGGGTCAGGCCGCTCCTATCAAGGGTCAGGCCGCCGCGGCCCGGCTGAGCCAGCCTGCGGGCCAGCGGCTCCTGCAAGGTCATAGAGCCCAGGGGCAGAAAGCCGGAGATGCACCCGCAGCCTGGCGTGTCTGGACAGGCGTGTGTGAGCTCGCTCTCGGCTGGATGTGGTCACTGCAGGGGAATCGGGGGGGGGTGAGTGTGGGCCCCCTCCCCTGCTCCCGAGGGCGCGCCTCTCCCCCTCCTGCTCCATGAGCGTGGGGGGCCATGTTCGGCTTGTTACGTGGTGCCGAGTGGGACTGTGAGCGCAGCGTTTGAGTGCTGGGGAGCGGGGACTGGGGTGGGGGAGGCTTCCTTGTTGCTGGGTGGGCTGATGGGCGAGTAACTGAGTCACCCCTTCAGCTCTTGCCGGGCTCTGTGCCAGCCTGAACTCAGAGGCATAAGGGAGGGAGATGTGGTCCTTGCCCTCACGTAGCTAACACATGCTGAACAAGCAAACCCAGAAGTGCTCACGAGGGGAGTGTGGGGACACAGGGAGGAGGTCAGTCCTGCTGGGGAGAGCTTTCTGGAAGGAGAGGTAGGTCCTGGCCAGACCAAGAGAGAATCCCAGGTGGAGGACCCAGCATGAGCAAATGTCCTGAGGCAGAGAGGAGAAACCGAGGTGACAGAGCTCAGTGGGTGAGGAAGGCATGGCTCCTGGGAGCCTGGAGAGGGGGCAGGAGGAGGTGATCAGCAGGTTTGGTTTTGATCAGAAGTGTGTAAAGAGGCTGATGTGTGGTAGGAACCTTAGAACAGTCTGGAAGCCGTGGGGGGGCATCAAGATAAAGCCTTGCCTCTCAACCCTGGCTGTGTGTCACTCAGGGTCTCCTGGGCTGCTTGTGAAATGCCACTGCCCAGAGCCTGCCCCAAGTCAATATAAGTCCTTCATGTTGGCTACAGGTATTTTATATTGAAAACTCACGACATTATTAAGTTCACACAAATCCTATGAATGATGGCTCCGTCTATTCCCATGCCACTCTCAGCCCAGTCAGGATCTAGAACGTTCCTGGCTCCCCCAGAAGCTCCACTCAACAGCAGCCCCCTTCTGTCTCCAGGAGTGGTGGTTCTCAACTAGCAGCTGTTCTGTCCCCAGGGGCCATTGGGCGAAGACCACAGACGTTTTTGGTTGTCACAATGGGGGCTGTCCCTGGCATCCAGTGGGTCCAGGCCAGGGGTTCTGCCCGACGTCCTTCGGTGCACGGAACAGCCCCAAAGGTCAAAGGCGCTGCAGTCGAGAACCCTTGCCGCGGCGCGGTTCACTTGTAGCTTGAACTTGACGTCCACGGAAACGCGTCTTCTCATCTTGCTTGGGGGTCTGGCTGTGAGGTTGTGCCGTGTGAGGTGGTGCCTGCCCTTCTCCGGTGCTGCGTTATACTCCCCGGACGGATGTCTGCCAGCTTCCCTACTAGACCTTCTGTCGGTGGACGTGGGGTGGCTCCCTGGGCTCTGGGGCCCCAGGAGGTTTTAGGGTGCCCTCGGGGTCCCGGAGCGCCCCCTGAGCCGCGCCCCTGCCGTGCAGTGTCACGAAGCCGCTGTGTCGATCTACTGCAGCATGAGCAACCAGAGCCTCCCCCACTGGGCCCTGGTGTCCGTGCTGTCCCTGCTGGCGTGCTGCGTCATCTACTCGCTGACAGGTAAGGCCGCGCGGGGCACCGCAGAGCCGGGCGGGGGCGCAGGAGACCCGACTGGCGGGGGCTTGAGGGGTGCTCTCTGCGCGCTCAGCTGCGAAAGGCTTTGCGCGTTTGCTCCTGACCCCACAGGGAAGTCCCCATTTCACAGGAGGAGTAACTGAGGCTCAGATGGCATCTGAGGCTTGCCCAGGGTCTCGCGACTAGATGTGCAGAGCTGAGACCCTGCTCGTGTGCACCCCACCGCCCCACCCTGACCAGGGGACGATAGCGATGGTCATGTAGCGTGACACCTGGGTAGCAATTTATAAAATGCCCTTGTGGGTTTGACGGGCGTGGGTGCTCACGGACCCGGGTTCTAAGCAGAAGGGTCTCTAAAGGTGGCGGAAGTGTGGCTCAGAGAGGGCTGTAATCTGCTCAGGGTCACACAGCGGGCCCCCAGCACGGCCCAGGTCTCAGGCCGACTCCTGGCTGGGCGGCTCCTTTCCTCCTGCCCAGGGCTTCGGAGCCCCTGGCCTGGGAAGCCCTCGGGCCGCCGCGGTGTGTCGGGCACTGTGGACCACCATGGTCCCCCGAGAAGCTTGCCGACACACGCTATGTTAGCTTCCGGAGCACACCGCGGTGACGCGGCCTCTGTTACACGGTGCTCGCCGTCCACGCTGTTCCCCACGCGGAGCCTTCAGCCCGCATCTCCCGCCAACATGGCTCCTTCCTAATCCGCTCCCCGGCCTCCCACCCTCTCGGCCTCCCAGGAGCGTACGGCTTCCTGACCTTCGGGACCGAAGTTTCCGCGGACATCTTGATGTCTTACCCAGGTGACGACGTGGTCATCATCGTGGCCCGGGCCCTCTTCGGCGTGTCCATCGTGACCGTCTACCCCATCGTGCTCTTCCTGGGGAGGTGAGGGCCCGGGAGGAGAAAACGGAGGTGGGGAGTTGAGGTGGAGCCCAGACTGCCCCGGACCACGCCCCGTGTGGCCCGTCTGTGTCGGCACCTGCTGTGGACAGAGCCGCGCGAGGGGTGGCGGGGTCCTCGGGGAACGGCGCCTGGTGGGGACCTGGGGCGCCCGGTGGGGGCGGGCGCGGGGCTGGAGCCGCCTGTGGTGTGGCCGCCAGGTCGGTGATGCAGGATTTCTGGAGGAGCTGGTGCCGGGCGCGTGGGCCCAGGGCCCTGGCGGAGCCCTCGCGGCCGTGGGTCCGGGTGCCGCTGACCGTCCTGTGGGTCGCCGTGACGCTGGCCATGGCCTTGCTCCTGCCCGGCCTCAGCGAGATCATCGGCATCATCGGCGGGATCAGTTCCTTCTTCATCTTCATCTTCCCGGGTGAGGCCCCCGCTGCGCTCCGCTCGGCCTCCCCGTGTGGGGACTCAAGGGGCTGGAGGGCGGGAGCCCCGCAGCGGCTTCCCTGACCGGCCCTGGGCTGGGGACAGCGCGTGCCGTGCCTTGAGTTAAACATCTCCGTGGCCCGTGAGGGGTGCACCTGCTGGGGGCCCAGTTGCCACCCCATCCTGCAGGTGAGAAGGTAGAGGCCCCGAGGCTCCTCCGGGGGGGTGCGGGGAGCGCGGGGTCAGCCTTGACCTTGTCCACTCTCCGGTGCTGCTGCACACGGGTGGGGTTTCATTTTCCCTCCCTCCCTTCCTCCTTCCCTTCCTGTTTATTTGTGAGAGAGAGCACCAAGCGAGCACAGATGGGGGAGGGGCAGAGAGAAGGAGACACAGAATCGGAAGCAGCTCCAGGCTCTGAGCTGTCAGCACAGAGCCCGACGTGGGGCTCGAGCCCACATAGTCCAAGATCATGACCTCAGCCGAAGTCAGACGCTTAACTGACTGAGCCACCCAGATGCCCCTCATTTTCTTTTTTAAAAACACTTTTGGTTACGTGAAATTTACATGGTTCAAAGGTGCCCCGTGAACATCGTCATCTGCCTTGTCCCTGGACCTGGGAGGCGGACACGGTTTCCCTGAACGTTGGTTTCTTCCCTGTGTGAGTGGGTGGAGCTCCCGTCAAGGAGGCCTGAAGCTTATCCCAGCCTGGAAAGCCCGGGGAGCCTCCCAGAGGAGGCGGCGCTCAGGGCGGGAGCCCCAGGTACCCCTGGCTGTGGCTCTGGGAAGCATTTTCAGAGCCGAGTGCTGGGTCTGCTGGATGCAGCCGTGCCTGCTGCAGGATTCCTAGCTGGTCACTTGGGTTCGGTGCCCGTGTCTTGGGTGGGACCTGATAGTTCCAGCTGCCCCCTGTGCTGGAGAGGACCGGCCGGCACGCGTGGGCTCGATGGGGGAGGTGCTGTCTGGCTTCTGTCCCAGGAGAGCTGGTGAAAGAAGGAAAAGAACCGTAGCTGCCAGGTGTTAAAAGCATCCCAGGCGTCAGGCCCCCGAGTCTGGCCCTTGATTTGGCCTCCCAGGGACCCTGGCACAGAGGGAAGCTGTCCTTGTCGTCCGAGAGACCGGCTCGGGGGGCCGAGGTGTTAGGGGGACGCCGAGCTAGCTCCCTGGGGACGGGCTCTCGGGCTCAGGGCCGCTCTGGGTTCAGCAGCGAAGGCTGGAGTGGCCCCGCGTGTCCATTGCAGGTCTGTGCCTCATCTGTGCCGTCGGTGTCCAGCCCGTGGCTCCGCGCGTCAGGTGAGTGTCCCCAGACAAGGGTGATGGTGTGGGCACTTGAGGGGCTCAGAGCGAGCGGAATGGGGACGTGGCGGGGCCCACGGAGGTCACGTTGTCCTGCTGATGGGACACAGTGACAGGCCATCCCAGCCGGGAATCAAACCCCGGCCACCCTGGGGCCCGCACGCGGCCTGTGCTCGGCCCTCCATGCCCCTCAGGGGGTGATGGCCTGGGCCAGGAGCTGTGTGGGTGCCGGGACTTCCTGGCTCTGGGCGCTGCCAGGCGCGTGTCCTCTGCATCCCACACTCACACCTGCAGGAGGGCACAGGCCGGTCCTGTCACCCGGAACCTGTGTTGCGCGGGCTGTGTGGCCGGAAGGGCAACACATTGAACGAGGCGGCGGGTCCTGGCCGGACGCCTCCTCGGTGCCCACCCTTCGCTCCTCTCCCTACGGTACCGGGACACCCGTCCCATGGATGAGGGGACGGACCCTTGTCCGCAGGCACACGGCAAGTCAGGGCAGAGCCGGGACTCAACCCGTGCGGACTGGGTCCAGGCCTCACCCCTCCCCGCTCCCCGCTCCCCGCTCCACGTGTGGGCTAGACAAGAGAACTTGGGGACGCCTTTTTCTAGTAGAGGGCCCTCATCTCCCACCTGGCCTGTGCCATGACAGAGGCCCTGTCCTTTGCCCTTTGCCCTTGAGGGGCCCACCCTGACCCTGCTGAGGAAGGGAGTGCGCGACCCGGGGCACCATAGCTCGGCAGGGGCCTGCGTGGCTCTTCGTCCCATTCCACAGGTGTGAAAACTGAGGCCGAGGCAGGTAGAGAGACACTGTCTTGCTGGGGTGCTTTGCACAGAATTGCCTTCTCTCCCGGCTCTGGAGGTGACACGCCAGCAGTCCGGGTGTCGGCAGGACCAGGCCCCCTCGGAAGTTTCTAGAATCCCTTATGTTCTTATCATTTCCTACTTCTGGCGGCCTGAGGTGTTCCTGGCTTGTGCTGCCCCTCCATGTCTCTTAAGGACACTTGTCACCTCACTGCGGGCCCGCACCAAACCCAGAGTGACTTCCTCTCCGGAGTTTTAACTTTATTCCATCTGCAAAGACCCTGTTTCCAAATACGGTCAAGTTCCCGGGTTTGGGGTGGACGTGAATTCCGGGGACCACATTTCAGCCCAGGGCAGATGCCCCTACGTCACAGCAGCCGAGGGCTTGGGCGCCCCCTGCAGGCTGCTCCCTCTCCTCCTTTCCCTCCGGGCCTGGGTTTCCCACAGCGGGGGGCCAGGCTCTGTTCCCTTCTGGGTGAAGGCTTTTCTGGATGCCTCTGAGCCTGACGTGGGCTTGCGGCTGGTCGCGATGGCCCGGGGCCTCCTACGCGCGGCCCGTCCCCTGCAGTGGCCTTTGAAGGCCCTGCTGCGTCGGTTTTGTGCCTTGATCCAGGCTCACAACGGTTCTCACTGGTGGGCTTTGAAGGTATTTTTAATTCTAGATCTGCTGTAGGGCCTCTGATCCCTCAGAGCCGCTCCGGGACCCTGCAGGCCCCGGAACATTCCCCACGCTCTCCCCGCCCCCGCGTCAGAGGCGTTCACGACTCTGCCTTGCTAGACACATATTTCCGTGACACGGGTCCTGTGGCCTCTGTTAACGGGGCCAGAAAAGTGTCCAGCAGCTTTGTGCGGTGGCTGCTGGTGCGTCAGGAAGCTGAGCACCTCTGCCACCGCGCCCTCGTGCCCAGCCACCGTCCCCGTCGTGGGTGACTTCGGGCTTTCTGCTCCTTTGTCATTTTCAGGGGAGCTTCAGCCCCCCTCCCGTTGCCCCCAAAGGGAAAGGAGTGGAAAGGTGTCTCCCTCCCCCATGGCTTTGGCTTTGATGAAAGGCCAGGGAGGAACGGAGTCCTGAGTTGACAGTGGCAGTGAGTGGGTTTAAGTGCCTGGGGACGTTAGCGCCCGATGTCTTGGAAGCCCGTCCCCACGGGTGAGGGAGAGCTCCACGGACTTTTTTCCAAATTGGTGACGCTACTGGCTTCGTGTGATAGGCCTTCTGCGTGCACTTGGCCGGTCTGTGCGGAGCTCGGGGAGGTGGGGGGCGCGTGCTGATGTGGGTTTATTGGCCCGGCAGGTGCTGTTTGGAGGTGTGGGGCGTGGCCTCCGTGCTCGTGGGCACCTTCATCTTCGGGCAGAGCACGGTGGCAGCCGCCCTGGAACTCTTCTGAGCGGGAGGGTCGGCCCGGCCCCACGCGGCCCTGGCGCTGCCGCCTGCGTCCGGCTGTGAGACCCGTGTCCTCGCGTCATAAAGATGCTGGAGAAATGGATACCTTCTGCCTCCTGGGGCTGCTCATTGGGGCTTCTGCTGGTTCAGAGGGTTTGGGGGTGCAGGGCTGAGGAGGGTGTATTCACGTCCTGGGGCCACCCTAACAAAGACCACAACGTGGGGGCTCCGAACAGCAGAGATCTCTTCCCTTTGTGGTCTGGAGGCAGGGTTCCGAGATCCCGGTGTGGCTGGCCGTCCCTTCCCACGTGGCTGGCTGCCCTATGTGTCCCTCCAAATCTCTCTCCTCTTTTTTTAGTTGATTTTGAGGGAGAGACGGTGAGAACCGGCGGGGGAGGGGTGGGGGGGTGGATTAGAGGGTCCCGATCAGGCTCCGTCACGTGGGGCTGGAACTCACCATCTGCAAGATCGTGACCTGAGCCGAAGTCGGATGCTTAACCGACTGCGCCACCCAGGCGCCCCCGAAATTTCCCTCCTCTTTCAAGGACCCCAGTCATTGGATTAGAGCCGCCTTTTAGTCCAGTATGGCCTCGTCTTAATTTACTTAGGATCATAGGTCCTCTTTCCAAATAAGGTCACAGTCACAGAGTCTGAGAGTTGGGACTTGACCCTGATATTTCTAGGAGATACAAGTGGTAACCAAAGTAGGGCCTGAGGCCAGTGGAGCCCTACTTTGGCCCACGCTCCCCCGGGACTCAGCGAAGCGTGTGCGGGTCCCTCCGTCCCGACCCCAGCCCTGGGGTGAGGAGTCACCCCTGCTGCTGAGGGCGAGGGGACCAGGGGTCTGCCCCAGGGGCAGGAACGGGGGGGCGGGGGGCAGCTCGCGGCCCAGCTGCTCCTGCGTCGCCGTGCTCGCCGGCTCTGACCCTGCACGGGGCCTGGACCCTCCTGGATGTCGCTGGGCTCGGGCCCCTCTCCCTCTGCCTTGGGACGCCTGCTGGGGGCCAGCGGTGCCAGAGCCACGAGGGGCCGACGTCTGAGGACCCCGCCCTCAGGGTAGGCAGCGGGCCGGGCTCTGTCGGGTCATGTGATGGGCGTGTGAGGCCACACGGGGCGAGGGCCGTTGTGTGTTTTCCAGCCTTTCTGCCTGCATTCGTTTGTTTCCAGCTGTGACTCACATACTGCGAAGTTCACCGTGGCAAAGCGTACGATCCGGTGGGTGCTAGTCGAGGCAGAGGGTTGTCCAGCCACCACCAGCTGCTGATTCCGGTTCGTTTTTGTCACCCCGGTTTCTCCGCAGTGATATCGCGTAATGTTTCCAAATTCACCCATTTTACAGGTGAGGCAACTAAGATTTGGGAACGCCTTTTTTTTTTTTTTTTTTTTTAATTTTTATAA